TGCGATACTTTTAACACTGTCGAGCAAATATCATGGAGGAAATTGCTTAATTCTGTAATGACGCCCCATACAAAGTTCGGTAAAACTTCCTTCAAAGCTATTGGAATTAGTCTTTCCATCAGGATGTGACATTCATGACTCTTCAAACCTGTCAACTTGCATTCCTTCAAATCAACACATCTCCCGAGGTTCGAAGCATATCCATCAGGAAACCGCACAGATTTCAACCATTGACAAACAATTCGCCTCTGCTCCTTATCCAATGTATAAACCGCTTTCGGTTTTGGTCCCCTTTGCTTGCATCCACAACTAGTATTGGCCGATCGCAAATATCTCTCATATCTTTTCTTGCGTTCAAGTTGTCTTTTGTTTTTCCGGCGACATCCATCACAGTATTTATGACATTGTCGAAAACATTCTTTTCTATGTGCATGACGTCAAGATTATGATGAATAAGATGGGCCTTCCAATATGGTAGATCCCAAAATATCTTTGCGTTTTGTCCACTTATGTGTACTTCCGTACGCAAAAGTCGTGCCGTGCGGGTTTTCAACAACAGTTGGAAAGTCCTGCACACGCTCCCAAATTTGATTGCCAGTCAACCTCAATGGTGGATGCGTTCTTTCAGTTCTATTCTTGCTGAACTCTTTATTATTCCTTCTGAAAGGATGACTTGGCGGTAAAAATTGTCTGTGACAGTCAAAATAGCTAGGCTTCTTTCCATGTTTTAATCTAAATGACTTTGTCCTCTCCAAACATATCGGACATCCTAAGATCCCAGCTGTACTCCATCCAGATAACATTCCGTAAGTTCGGAAAGTCATTTATCGTCCAAAGAAGGGCAGCCTTCATAACAAATGTTTGATCGGTAGAAACGTCATACGTAGGGACACCTTCAACCCATAGCCGTTGTAACTCCTCAATCAATGGTTGCATATAAACATCTATCAACTTTTTCGGATTTTGCGGCCCTGTCACGATCAATGTCAAAAACATATAAGGTGTCTTCATGCACATACCAGGTGGAAGATTGTACGGCGTTAAGATAACTGGCCAGTATGAATAACTTTTTCCTGTTTTCCCAAATGGAGCAAATCCTTCGACATAGAGACCTAACTTGATGTTCCGAGGCTCCATTGCAAACTTAGGGTATGTTCTATCAAAATGTTGCCATGCCTCTGCATCTGAAGGATGACACATTAGACCCTCTTCTGTTTCATGATTTGCATGCCAAGTCATGTGTTCAGCAGTGGCTTTAGACGCATAAAGCCTTTGCAATATGGGGATTAAGGGCAAATAAAACATTTGCTTGCATGGTTTACGATTCTGATTACAACCCGGCCTCCTGTTAATCTTGTACCTAGGTTGGCTACAGAATTTGCAAGATTCTGCATTTTCATCATCTCTCCAATATATCATACAACCCCTACTACATACATCAATCCTTACAACCGGAAGACCTAAGTTATCCACTAGCTTTTTCATATCATAAAAATCACTTGGCATGTTGTTATCACGAGGCAATAATTCCCGCATTACTTCAACAAAAGAGTTGAAGCAATCCTGCACACATTACGCTTGCTCGTCTTGATATTTAATAGTTCGGGCCGTCACCGATAATCGAGTGTGGTCCTCACAACCTCGCCCATGAGGTTCATCTGCTGCTTTCAAGACATCCCAGAACTGATTAGATTGAAAAGTTTCATTATACACATTCTCCTCAAAACCCGTTACTCCTATATCTTCCAATTGTGAAGAATGATTAGTACCCACTTGTTCACGTGTAGGAGTAAAACTAGTACTTGCATGATTTGATTCTGTGACAAAATTATAACTAGCTGCATCAATCACCATCCTCTCGTATGGGTTCAATTGCTCATAATAGCCACATTCTTCCCTAACTGAAAATTGGTAACTTCTTCCATATCCTTCATCAGATATAAATGGTTCACCATGGGAAGTCCAATTATAATAGTTCGGAGTAAACCCAAATCTAATAAGGTGTTCTCTAACTTGATCACACACAAGAAATTTACCATTACCGCACTTTTTACACGGACACCTTAACTTATTTCCATCCATAAACTCATATTTACTACTAGCAAAGTCTAAAAATAGTTCCAACCCAAGATTGAAACTCATCCGTCAATCCTTGACGTCCAGGTAAGTTCTTATTATACATCCAAGCCCTTTCTCTTTACATTGTGTCTGTATTAAAATAAAAAATTCTGGTAAAATATTTAAAATATCATATCTATTGTTCTTAATTAAAACCATAAAATTTTGGAAATTATAATTTTTGTTATTCACGCAATAATTAATATGAAATTGCAAAAATAGAAAAAATTATAATGTAAAGAAGAGTTATCCAAATATTTGACTGAAATATTTGTAGGAGAAAGTGATCAATTTGATGAGAATTGTAACGTCCACTTGGATTGCGAGACCTTCAATTAGGCACATACCCAAAAAAGAATAATCACTTAAGAATCATTTTTTAATAATTTTTAATGTGCGATGGAAATGGAATGTATCCGTCGCAAATTTGCAACGGAAAATAGTATCCGTCGCAAATTTTGCGACGGAATTTTCATTTATTCGTCACAAATTTGCGACGGAATCAGTTATCCGTCGCAAATTTGCGACGGATACTATCTGCCATCGCAAATTTGTGACGGATACTATTTGTCGTCGCAAAATTGCGACGGAATTTTCATTTATTCGTCGCAAATTTGCGACAGAATCAGGTATCCGTCGCAAATTTGCGACGGAATCAGGTATCCGTCGCAAATTTACGACGGCACATAGTATCCGTCGCAAATTTGCAACAGAATTTTCATTTATTCGTCGCAAATTTTGCGACGGAAACTATTTCCGTCGCAAAACGGCGTGGCCGTTCGGCCTCATCCAAAGGCCAGCGAGCTGTCGCCGGTCGTTAAACCGGTGATACAGATACAAAAAAAAAACAAACATAAACACATTTAAAAAAAAAAGAAATTACAATGCAATGACGAATAGTCACGAAGCTAGCTATGACACTTACCGGTACAAAAGCTTCACCGAGATTAATATGTGCGTGCGCGGATTTTGCTGATTTCAGACATATGAAAGAGGGAGAAAAGCGAGAGAGAGCGAGAGAGAGCGAGAGAGAGAGATAGGGTTGGAATATCACGGGCTGATAAACTACGAATTTGCGACGGACGTTGTTTTCGTCGCAAATTTGCGACGGACTTACAATGCCGTCGCAAATTTGCGACGGTTTTATTTTCCGTCGGAAATTTGCGACGAACGTTTTTCCGTCGCAAATTTGCGACGGATTGTATTTTCCGTCGCAAATTTTCCGACGAAAAATGTAATCCGTCGCAAATTTTCCGACGAAAAATGTAATCCGTCGCAAATTTGCGACGGAAATAAACCGTCGCAAATTTGCGACGGAAAATGTAATCCGTCGTAAATTTGCGACGGAAAAACGTTCGTCGCAAATTTCGTGTTTTGTTGTAGTGTTGTATGTGTATTACACGCTGGATTGAGATAAATGAGTTTTGATATTGTTTTTATAACTGTGCACAGTGGATGCTCGATTTGCTCAGAAGAGATGTACCACTCATTGATTGCGGTTGCTCATTCTATTCATCTTTACTTGCTTTTCAGGTTCTTCAGCGAGCTGTGAGTAGGACGAGAACGTTATTTGTTTACACTTAAACAAAAGTAAAAAAAAAAAACTGCTAAAATTTCAAATACTATTCAAATTTCAGCAAATTTATGAAAAATTATATATGAATCTACGTGTCAACATTGAGTATATTGTGAAAGATTCTAGAGTTCGGGATTTAAAAAGAGTCGATGTGTAGAGTTACAAGATTTAGATCGATCAAAAAAAATGAAAGTCATTTCAGACGGCCCGCAACCTCATTATCAAACAAACTCAATGGAACCTTCATCCTTTTCTCCAATTCCAATCCTTTTAAGTCCGTAGTACCAAAATAGCACAGAAATGCGAAAGAATTAACAAATATAACACGACATAAACCATCATTGTTGCATAATTAATGAAAAGTTCAACAACAAAAAATATATGCAATAGAAGAAAATGACATAAACTACTATCTTCACACCTTAAAACCGAACCACTGCCACACAATTGAAGGAGTTAAAATTGCACCGTGTTTCCCCCATGTATTTTACCAGGCCAAACCTTAGTGGTAGAAAAGAGTATACACTTACAAATACACCCGAAATTTTCCTACAAAATCCAAGTCCGCAACCGCCTCCATTTTTTCCAATAGATGCATTGGCCCGAGAAATCAAGTCTCGAGACAACTGATTATATAGAAAGCCGACAACGCTGTCGCCGAGCAAGTCAGCGACCGACGATTCCCGAATACAGTGGCTCGGGGAGTGCCCAGCCGAGACAGATCCCGTCGTTCACCGGTCGTCCCTAGCATCTCCTTACAAAGCGAAGGGATGCTCTATTGTCCGGCCTAAAAAAAGTTTCCATCACGAACTAAAACGACCACCTAAATTTTTCTTATATACTTCAAGAGGAAATCCTTAACTACCTCTTCCCTGCGACGTAAGAAAGCAGTTGCAATGTTGGAAAAAGTAAATGGAGACACAACCTCAGTTCTTACCACATCAGTTCAAAATCCCCATGATCTAAAAAAGCGTGATGACACTACAGGGGACAAAAGAAGCACCCCCTGGTCCTCCTCCTCCCCCCCACCCCCCACGCGCGCTTCCTCGGCGCGTGTCGCTCGCGCTCCCTCGCTCAGCCGAGAGAGCAGCGCACCGCGACGCGCGAGCGCACGGCCCCGAAAAATGCTCCACCCAATGATCCCTCGACGCGTGGCCGGACGGGGGCGCGGTTGGACACGTGGCGGGTTCGTTAGGGTTCGGGGCCGGGTCCCGGGAGGGGGAACCCGGTGCGCGTGCGCGCAGGGGAACATGCGAGGGAGGTAGCCATCGCCCGATTCACATTTTCATGGGGGCGCTGACAGGTCTTGGCATCTAGAGGAAAATCGCAATCTCTCTCTCTCTCTCTTCTCTCTCTCTCTCTTCGGTTCTTGAATTTGCTTCCCTAGGCGCGGCGGGCAGCTGCGAAGTTACTGCTGATCCCGGCCGGCCGGCCGGCCGAATCGGGCGCACACGCGGCGGAGGTGACGTCGTCGGCCCGAAGCAATCTCGCACTTGGGTCGCCGTCGAGGTTTCGGGAGCTTCCTTGATGGTTCGGCTTCAGATCTGCTGATGCGTTGATTCTTTTTGTTTTCTCGTGCTGCTGTTCGTGGGGGAGAGAGAGAGGAATCGTGGGTTCTTCTTCTTATTCTTCGAATTCTTTCGTTTTGAGGCTTCGGGGGTGGTGGTGATGGGTTTCGAGATTTAGGGCTCGGGTTTGGTGGGGGGGTGCGCGAGAGCGGCTGAGCCTCATGGAGGAGAGTAGCAGAAGATCTGTGGAGCGGTCGGGGATAGTGTTGAAGAAGAGGAGCTCCTCGGGCTGCTTGATCGTGAGGAAGAAAGGGGATGGTGGTGGGGCGGGTGGGGTTGGTGGCGGCGCTGGTCCCTCGCGGAGGAAGAGGCCCAGGTTGGTCATGAGTGATTCGGGGTCGAGCGACGAGCTCTCCCTGGCGCGGCCCCGCAGGCTGCCGGTGGGTGCGGAGACGATTCGGGTGTGTAATGGTTTGACTGTTCCGAGGAAGGGCGTCTCTGAAGTGAGTGATGGGGTCGGCCGAAATGGGGAGGGGAAGAGAAGTAGGTTAGATGTGTTTGAGTTCGATGAATATGATGGGATTGATGGGGAGGGGATGGGCCGCAGACGGTTCGATGATGGTGGGGTCGAGCCCTCGGGAAGGAGGTTCCTGGGCTCGCCTCCCGTGGCTCGAAGCAGCGGTAATAGGGACTTCGCGGGTAGTTCAAGTAGGCAGACTGTTATGGAGAGGAGAAAGAATATGTATATTGATGAGACGAGTAGTTTCGGTAGGGAAGATGGTGGAGGTAAAAATAGGTTTCAGATGAAGCGGGAAGGCGGTCGAATTCCTATACAAATGCTGAGAGAAAAATATGGTGGTCGTCCAGACGAGGCCATCAGGGTTCAGGGTAAAAATGGTGTTTTGAAGGTGCTGGTTAACCCGAAGAAAAAAGTAGGTGGGCCTGTGAGAAATCTTGATCAGTGGGATGAACGTCGGAAAGTTTCTGTAGGGGAAGGCAGGAAAGGTTCTATCTCTGAAGATACTACCCATAATGTCACATCCCGTCCTACTGCATTTGCTGAGATTCGAAGGAATGAGGTGCGGAATCCGATGATGATAGAGAAAAATAAGCTGAATGTTCAGAAACCCGTGTCTGCTAAGATCAAAAAGCCTGATGACTGGGAATCAGGGGACAGTGATATATCTCCAACACGGTCACGGAGGAATGCAGATAGACGAAACTCAGTTACGAGAGTCAGCTGTGAGAAAGAAAAATCCCCACAATCTAAAATAGGCCGTGACAGAGAGAAATCTCCACAATTGAAAATCGGCCGCGGAAACGGAAAACCCCGACAAGCTAAAATGAGCCGTGAAAAAGAAAAATCCCCACAGTCTAAAATTGTTGCACGGGCCAAGTCACCTGAAACACCTGTTACAAGCGGACCCAAAGAAGGAAAAGTGAAGCGTGGCAGTGGCACGGAGAAGCAAAAACTCAGAGAACGTATAAGAGAGATGCTACTGAATGCAGGGTGGACAATTGATTATAGACCTAGAAGGAATAGAGACTATTTAGACGCTGTCTATATTAACCCCGCCGGGACAGCTTACTGGTCTATTATCAAAGCATATGATGCACTTCAAAAGCAACTCGATGATGACAATGATGAGGGAAAAGCAAGTGAGGAGCGGTCTGCTTTTGTTATATCAGATGAGACTCTTGGCCAACTAACAAGGAAAACCCAGAAGAAGATGGAGAAAGAAATGAGGATGAAAGAAAGAGAAGGCGCTGGAAGTGCCAATGCAAGACAAGCTTCTATTAGGAGAAACTCAAAGCCAAAGCATGAAGAAGAGAGCATGGACAGTGATAGCGAGGAAGAAAAACTAAGCTCCTTCATAAAGCAGGGGGGTAAGTCATCAAAGAAAGGTCCTGTTCATCCAATGCACGGCAGTGTTGAGAAAGGCACCTCTGACTCCAATTTTCACCAAGCACACGGAAGAAAAGGTAGAAAACTAGGCAGATGTACTTTACTGGTCCGCAGTTCTGACAAGGGGCTGAACTCAGAGAGTGATGGTTTCGTTCCTTATACTGGTAAAAGAACCCTGCTTTCATGGCTGATTGATTCTGGGGTTGTGGAGCTGAGCCAGAAAGTGCAGTATATGAACCGTCGAAAAACACGAGCGCTATTGGAGGGATGGGTTACAAGAGATGGCATCCATTGTGGTTGCTGCAGCAAAATCCTCACTTTGTCAAAGTTTGAGATCCATGCAGGCAGCAAACTCCGCCAGCCATTTCAGAACATACATCTGGATTCTGGTGTCTCCCTTTTGCAGTGCCAGATTGATGCATGGAATAGACAAGAGGAGTCTCAACGTGAGGGGTTCCATTCTGTGGACACTGACGGTGATGATCCAAATGATGATACATGCGGCCTTTGTGGAGATGGTGGAGATTTGATTTGTTGTGATGGTTGTCCATCGACCTTTCATCAGAGCTGCTTGAACATCCAGGTCGTCTTGACATGCATGGCTCATGCCTTGTGGTCCTTTTTGCTACTTCAAAAATCTTATCTTTATTTCAACTGCTTTATCGAAATTCTGCTTCATTCTTGGAGCTTTTCACTGGCAATTGAAGCCTTTCCCTAGTTAGAATATAATTGCTCCTTGAAGTGATTTTCAGTGAGAGGATATGGCTATTCAATAGATTTTGATATACCGGAACTTGGAGGTAGTCTAATGGAAGAATTCATAGAAGTCATCATTCTCTTCTTCCCTGATAATTTTTGGGGTCCTCTGAATTTGTGACCGTGCTGTGCAACGAAATTGAACCAACTGCCCGAAAACTTGTAAGATTAATTATAACTGTAGTTTGCAATTCCAATGGTTATTTGAATTGATTTTACGAAATTACTGACATCTAATTAGTTTTGTGGAGAAACTTGCAATATTCAAATGGATTCTAGATTTTTGTGATTGTTGTTTGACTGGCTGAGTCGCATCGTCTCAGTGCAGCATGGCTGTGTCTGTTAATTGCAGTGGCACGGTTTTCATCTGCCGTTTTAGGGGCAAAGAAATTATTAGTGTCCTTTCTTCAATGTTCTTTGTTTAATAGTTGATAACCTTGCTCTCATATACAACTCTTTGTCATATTACCGTTACTGATCATGATGGTAGGAGAGACATAAATGTGTTTATGTATGTAAATTATTTGTCTACATTCATAGATATGGACATCTGTGTTTGTTCATTCGATTCAGCTAACTGGTCAGCCCCAGTTATTTGCCTTTTGACTGATTTTAGTTTTAATGTAATCTTGTTTGACTGCAGAAGCTTCCTCCTGGGGACTGGCATTGCCCTAACTGCACATGCAAATATTGTGGAGTAGCGAGTGAATGTACTTCGCATGTTGATAATGCAACTGTTGGTGAAATCTTTGCATGCGACCTGTGTGAGAAAAAATGTAAGTCGTTTTATTTCCAGTAGCACTTGATGTGATGGTCGGCACATGCTCTCTACATTCACTCAGCATTTTGATTTTGTCATTGCAGATCACAAATCATGTTTTGAGGAAACAGATACTTTTCCTTTGGACTCCGATAGCACAGGTCATTCTTTTTGCGGTCAGAAATGTGGAGAGGTAATCTTCTCTTTGGGTTCTCTCTTTGCAACCAAAACAGCTCAGATAAGGTCGTACTGAATACTGATCCACATCTTAGCAGAAAAGGATCTGAAATTGATTTTGTGGCCCATCTAGGTGATTTTTTTATAGTAGTAACTGGTTCGTTATTCTGTTGTGGGATTTTAACCCTCGAGGATTTGGTTTTAATAATTTTTTATTCTTGGTGTTGTCGAGTTAACGTCTTTTAGCATTTAATCTTGCCAATCTAAATTTGTGGCTTTTCTTTTATACCTAGAACTGGATGCAATGTTATAGTTCCAAATTGTGGTTCCAATTGGCATAGCAATTCATCATATGGAGACCTACTTGTAGTGCCTATTCTAGTTGGGCAAGGTAAAGTCACTGTTATATTCAAGTCAAGCAGTTGCTGATGTTTATCAAACTAAGTCATTGCCTTGAGGAGCATCTATCATGTGTTTAGCAATTATGACCAGTTGGCACTTGTTTCCATGCCTTCTAACGGGTTGCATTTGGCATGGAGCATCTTAAATTGGGCATGCAACATCCAAGCTTGGACCGCATGTTTCGTAAGGCTGATAATGATATCTATTTCGGATATGTTGTGGTGAGCATGGGATTTGGTTTAGGCAACTGGATAATGAAATAGAGATGGCGAATAGATAACTGATTTTTCTTTCCCAGGCAAAATATTATCTCAGATGTCGGCAAAGTAATGCTGATTTGCTGCTTTACTGGTCTTGTTGATTTCAACTTTCTTTCTGTTTATGTTTACATTAACAAATTTGAAGTTAGAAGATTTTTTCTTAAAGGATAATGCTTTTTAGTTGCGTTGCTTATATTGTGTTTAGTTAGCCATATTGTTCCTCCTCTTTGGGTAGATTTACATTATCTATGCAGAGTTTGTATTGGTCACTCAAGCTTTTGTTAATTTTGCAGCTCTTTGAACATCTTCAGAAGTATCTCGGGGTCAAACACGAAGTAGAAGGTGGATTTTCATGGTCTCTCATTCGCAGGACAGATGCAGAGTCAGATATGTCTCTTCGAGCGCTTCCTCAGAGGGTGGAATGCAACTCCAAGCTTGCAGTGGCGCTTACAATTATGGATGAATGTTTTTTACCCATTGTTGACCGGAGAAGTGGTATAAATATGATTCACAATGTTCTCTATAACTGTGGGTAAGCTCTACTTTTGATCCTTTACCTATCAATAGCTAATTGGTGAAAGAGAATTTTGACATGTTGATGCACCTATTTCATGAAGCAATGATTATTTTGGGAAGTTCTTTGATTTGTTACGTTGATACATTAAAAGAAAAATTTGACATGTCGATGCACCTATTTCATGAAGAAATTATTATTTTGAAAATTGCCTTGATTTGTTACACTGAATGAATTGCAGGTACGTGATGGCTAATACTAAAATTTACCTTGGGTTTCCATTGTCATGGATAAATATATTGTGGGCATTTTTGTGATCTTATTTGGTAATTTATTGCCATAAAATGACAAGCAAAACAACTTTTGTCACTTGTTTGTTAATTTTACGACTGTTTTATTCTCTTTTCCAAGTATTTGAGCGATCTGGAACGAACATAAGTGAGAATGAGGAGTGATTGTCTGATATAATTCTTAGTAAACATGATTAATTCTTGATCATAAAGCTGTCAAGAATTCAGGCTCAAATTTACTGCAATGCCATGTTGTGTTTGTGCAGTCTATTATAGTATGTATCTCGTTAAGATACCTGCCTCGCAAGTGTCTACTTTTCACAGAACTTTTGAAATCAGTGGGACAGTGAGATGAATGCAACAGTCTTCTAGTTGGTCCCGCATCCATCTTTAAGAGTGAAAGATGCTCGACATGAGATTAATTAGCTGTCGAAATATGCTTAGTAACGTTCTTTTGCAATTAAGTGGATTTCTTAGCTGTTAACTGGTTATGTTGTCTGGTTCTGAAAGTTGAGGCTATGTTTTGCTCCACAACCAATCTGAGGTCCTAGGAGTCTGATTACTCATTTTATTGATGTGATACTGTTGTCTTCCCCCGACAGATAATTTTTTCTTTTTATTTGCACAGATCAAACTTCAATAGGATTAACTATAGTGGATTTTACACTGCTATATTGGAGAGGGGTGACGAAATTATCTCTGCAGCATCGCTCAGGTGCGTTTTTTCCTTGTTTCTGGTTGGCTCTGTTTTATTATTATTGTAGTTTGTCTACCTTGGAGAGAGTAAAAGAAAAAAAGAAAGGAGAAGGGCTAGAGGAGTGAGGAGAGGCTTGAAGAAATGAAATCTGTTTATCTAGTTGAATTTTTGGTGTTGTTTGTTACATTCTATAAGGATTGACATGGTTCCTGTGCCTTTTAAGAACTTAATTAAAAAGGAGTGAGGAAAGCACTGTGTAGCAGCTCGAAAATGGATATGACATGAGAAATTATGCTAGACATGCTTGAACCTTGATAGAAGCATTATCTTTGGCTGCTGTGATGTTACTTCTGATAGACTTCCTTTCTGTGTTTTCTGTTTTCCCATTCTGATTTGTGCTTTCAAGGCAAAAATGCTTTGCAGTGCATTTCCTTTTTTATGGTTTTCTTTATCTCTGTTGACAAGCTAACGTCCATCTTTTTCTGTCATTCTGTTACTTGAACTTGAATGATTTACTGTTTTTTGTTTTGGTTATCTATTTCTCTATCGCTTAGTTTACTGGGGGATTAAGTGTTCTACATAAATGCCATGTCAATATAGATGCATTTGCTTGCGTGTGAATGCAAGCAAGATGTCTGTCTTTATCTTCCAGCTTGGTACAGACATGGCAGGTCATATTCGTAGTTCAACCTCTCTCTTTTGTCTGGATAGGTTTCATGGTACCCAGCTAGCAGAGATGCCATTCATTGGGACGCGACATATTTATAGGCGTCAGGGGATGTGCCGTAGACTATTTTTTGCCATTGAGTCGGTAAGCAACGATAGTCGTGAATGGTGACCTCAAGCATTGTGTAGATGAGATTATCCATACATGCATTTGTTGGACCACCTTGAATATTTTATTATGACGATTAACCAAATTACCATTATTCAATAGTTATTTATTCCACTTCAGGCTCTGCGCTCGCTCAAAGTTGAGATGCTGATTATCCCTGCTATATCCGAACTTATGCACACATGGACTGTTGCCTTTGGTTTCTCTCCTCTTAAGGAGTCTTTGAAGCAGTACATGAGATCCTTGAATATGTTAGTATTCCCCGGTTTAGACATGTTGCAGAAGATGCTTTTTGAACAAGATACTGTCGCGGGCTCAAGAGGTTTGGGCTCTGGTTCAAGTCTGAAAATTTTGTTAACATCTTCTGTTATTCTCAGTATATGCATCTTACTGTTTATATGGTTTCTAACAGAAGCCAAGACCATGGAACTGGAAATGGACACGCAAGTTACTTCCCCTGAACCTGACGATATTTGTCAGCATGACGATCCTGGCGAGCATTCTGGTGAGGGTGATAAAGCAGATATCGTGGACTGCGATCCAAAGTCTCAAGATGTTTCCCCGGGTGATGCTTCAACAGGGAATGGCTCATCTCATGATGCTTCAGATGATATGGAACTTCGAGTTTCCAGTGAAATGCTTAAAGATGCTGACCCTGATTTGGCTGACAAGTCTGCTGAATCTGATGTAGATCAGATAAGTTCTGCTCCATGTAAAGCTGAGGTAGAAGCTTGTAAGGTGGAAGACAAATCAATGCCAGCTTTGCCATTTCAAGTTGGTGTTCAATCCACTACCGAAGATGGTTATATAGATGATTCCCCAGAAGCTGAAGCTGGTGTTGCATGTAAGAATTATGCTAGTAATTCAGAAGTAAAACCTGCAAAGATTCTTGAGGGGATCAATGGAACTCCAGATGCTGCTTCTATTTGTGATTCTTGTGCCATAAATGGAACTCAGATGCGTCCCCTGCTTTCTGATGTCAGCCATAACAAATCTGGGATGGATGACAAGTCGATGTCGGATTCCTGTGTTGCCGGTGATTTTCAGAATTCAGGTTGTCTAACCAACGCCAATGAGGAAAAAGTGGATATTTCAGCAGAGAATGTAACTGAGGGTGCAGATGGCAAATCAAGAGATGCTCCTAGTATTCACCAGTCTGAGGAAAATCTGATATTGGTAAATTCAAATGCAGATGACCAAATCAGTTATCGAAAGGAAAACGTGATCGAGTTCAATAATGATGAGGAGTTACTTTCTGATGCGGATGTGGAAGTAGAAAACAATTCATTGTTGAATTTTCCATCTAAAGGTGAGTCTTTGAATGAGACTGACTGGGATTCTTGCAGTGGGAGCAGTCGGTATGACAATGCTGATGCAGATGTTAAGGTTACACTAGTTGAGCCTATTGCAACTTCAGAGGAAAAGCAGGAGACCATGGAAATCTGGAAGGAGGAGAATGCAGAAGATATTCCTGTCTCTACTGCAGTTTCAATTCAAGCATCAGAGGAAGCAGAGGACTTAAGGAAAGATGATATAACTGTGGGGAAGAATTGTCAAGGTGCTTCTGTATCTGATGTGAATTCAGTGCAGATCAACTTTGAATCAAATTGTCCAACTACAGAGGGAGAGGAGAACAAATCAGTTGAAACCATTTAGCACCCGATGCAGCTTAGCAGAAGTTATTTTTCCATGTGATTGAAGCGACAATGTTCTGCAGTTGGGAACTGGATCGTCTTTGATTTAATCTCAAATCTGATTCAGAGGCTGCTATCCTTAAGATATTCGAGGGTTGATCATCACACTACATGCTGGATTTGCTTCTTTAGTCGAATATCCATGGAGGTGACTGCGCACAATTCAAGTTAATCTGTTTAAGTCAAGTTGATCGACTAGATGGGCTAGTCTGAGCCAATCGTTATTTTGCTTCTGATACTGGATGTTATTGACATTGACTAACTGGCCTACGGTGTCGGTGCAATTAGGAAATAGCACCCTGGATTTGGTGAGATTCATGGTGCTTACAACATGAGAACATTCTGCACCATTGCAAATTCTTGCTAGTCTCTCGGTACGTTTCTGTCACTGGTTCTGGATGTTTCATCAATGAAGGCGCTTTTGTCTGGGATGCTAATCTGACAAAGTAGCTTTAAAGGTTTGGTTTGCTTGGTCAATACAGCCATTCTATTGTTCATGCTAGTGACTGTTAAGGCAGAATCATCTCTGCCATAAGGGAATTAGCCGTTGCAGTAAAACGATAAGATTGATGGACTGGGATTGGAAAGGCACAGTGTTTGCAGTACATATATAGGATACGTGGTCTTGCTTCCTCATGGTGTATATATCCTAATCTTTTAGCTGCTTTTTTCTTGTATTATTGTGTCTTACTAGTGATGATTCAATACGACCCTTGTTGCCCAGCATTTCCTACGTAATTTTTGCAATCAGAGCTGCTGCAGTTGCCCGCGCATTTGGTGCCGTGGGTTCATCTCAGTCTAGCGTAATCATGATTACTGATTCGGCAAGAAAGACAAGTTCATGGTATTCATCTGTTCCGCAGAGTGCAACTACATTGAATTCGAGTGATGTTAACTCCCACAGCGAAGGTCAAGTTTCTCTTTTCAATTTTTAGTGCATATAGATTTGACTCTGCAATCAGGATTCAGAATACGCGTTAGTGCAGGAATCTAATTGTGAGGTTGCTTGATTGGATGATATAAGTGACCCATTTGTGTAGACTGTAAAACGGTTTATTTTTTACTCGTCACGTGGGTTAGGTTTGTCTTCCACTCTCAGTTTTTCGGTAGCTGGTTTTGATTCTAATCCGAGTGTACACCTTGAAATGGTTCTTTGATTGTAGTTGCTAGTCTCCTTTGTAGGCAATAATTGATAGTCTTGAAATCTCGCCATATGTGGTTCTGAGTAAAAAGTTGCTTTTATGTTCTCAATGCGAATTGCCTATGTTGCCTCTGGGTTTTGACTTTGTATGCCTTTTAGGAGAGTTTTGAGATTGCAACTAAAGTAATAATGAGGTACGTGTAGCAGTCACATTTGCGCATTTCGTGAACTTTTATCAAAAGAAAAGGTTCGCAATGCAACGGAAAGGCTTTCGACGTCGGTGGTACCATCGACTCTCGAGAGGTAAGAATGAAAAACATTGGACTGTTCCTGTAGAAAGTCTTCAGAATTACTTACCTACAAGTTTGGTAGGTAGCAATAAGTTTGTCTGTAATCATTAATTAGGGTAAAGCGAAAATAGTATCACATGTATGTGGAGGAGCAATTCTGTATCAAGGAAACTATAGATGGTAAGGTTTGGGCGACTTTTAAGTTTCTGGATACAACTATAAAGAAATCATGAAGGATTTAAGGTGAGGAAAATATGTACTTCTGTAGAAGTTTTCTGGCTAGATCAAGAGTGGCGATTCGCATCAATAAAAAAAAATGTTTACTTAATTTTATGAGGCAAGTGCATTGGAAGTCTTAAAATTTATCACGAAAGTGCAATCGAATTCTGAAACTTATCAAATTGGTGCAATCGAATTATTTCGTCAATTCTGTCTAACTTAACTGGTGCCACACTCGGTTGACAGAAAATGCTGACGTGAATTTTTTAAATATTTTCTCTCTCTTATGGCAATGATGTTCGTTTTAGTCAAAATCTGATTTCTAATACAAATTTTATTTGAATTAAATTTAAAAATAAGCTAAAAAAAAAAAAAAAAAAAAAAAAAGAGAAGGATGACGTTTGTTTAGCCAAAATCTGATGTCTAATACAAATTTTTTTGAATTAAATTTAAAAATAAGCTAAAAAGAAAAAAAAAAGAAAAAAAGAGAAGGATTGAGAACTGATCGCTACTGCTCCACCATCATGAGCAAGGGCCAACAAGGGTGGGAGATACCCCACCCCAGATCGAGCGAGGGCCTACAGGACCTCGCTTTGCGGTTGGCGAGGCTCGCCAGCCGCTGGACGGGGCTCGGTGGCGATGAGGGCTATGCAAGCCCTTGCCGCCTGAATCTCAACCCTTCTCCTTTTTTTTAATTTAATTTAAATGCAATTTGTATTAAAAATCAGATTTTGACCAAAACGACATCAATTTAGTCTTATATTTCATGATTTATTCACGTTATGGCCACTTAAGAGAGAAAAATATTTAAAAAAGCTATGTCAGCATTTTCTATCAGTTAAATTAGACAGTTAACGGAAATACTCGATTACATCAATTTGACAAGTTTTGGGACTTAATTGCACTTTTTATAAGTTTTAGAACTCAATTACATTTTCGTAATAAATTTCAGGACTTTCGATGCACTCATCCCTAATTTTAATGTGGTCAATGCAAACGATGTCCAATTTAAAACTAGTTTGAGTGCTTCACTCGCCATTTCTTTTGACAAGCCTCCCGCCATCGTCCCATTGAGGTTGGCCACTCTCCTTTAACGTGCAGCCATGTCTTTCTGCTCTCTCCCCTCTCCCCAACTATTTGTACCCTCAAGGATTTCCAATTCATCACACGCCCGCACATGAGAAGTGCTATCGATAAGTGAATAGCTCATCTCTGCGATGCAGAGGGAGGCATTGGACACATACTCGGGCCTCGTCCCTCTCATCTGCCGCGCGGTCAGTCGTGTCAAGCGGAGGTGGGGGTTTCGGAGGCTCCCTATTGATGAAGAAGCGACGATGCTCGCTCCTGTCGATCAGAGGAAGTTCAGAATCGCAGGCATCGCAGTCATAATGCTCAACAAGTGGAGGAACATTGCGCCCGGCAGCGGCAGATGCAGTCGGCCAGGCATTATTTCGAATTAGACCGACGTCCATAATTTCGAATTTTCTTGACTGCAAATTGTTATTTCGCTCTCCTTTTAACTTTTCGTGTTCTTTAACAAACTTAATTATTTGGTTCTTTCTTGGGTTGCATATTGCAACTCTCTTCTTTGAATTTACTACAATAACATGCCAAACTCGCTCAGATGATACGACAATTTCGCTCACTTTCTTCTTGTCCAGTCATATAGGCAAAACCATGCTTGAGACTGACCTGGATTTATATACCAGAAGAGTCGCGACATAGATCGACCAAATAAAATTTGGTCAGGCGTAAAGCTTACGGTTTCTTGTCGATCTTTGAGGCAGATTATTCAGTCCATGATCTAGGTATATTTCAATGAAGGAGAAGCAAATGTAAAAAGCAGAAAAGAGAACTACAAAAACAAAATGATTCCAATTCGAACGACTAACAATCTCAAGACCATACCCTTGGCTTTCACCATTCAATCCCTTCGAGCCAAATTCATACTTTGGAAAGAAGCAAAGGTAGTAACATCTAGAAGTGGAATCACACTATACATTCATCGTCGACGAGGAAACAGTGTACTCGTGGTGCTCGTGTCAAAGAGACGACAATGTGTGATCGTTCCGGTCATCATGATAATTCTCTGTTACGTGTGGAAATTACTGAAAGAGTATCACACACCGCATCATCGATAACAGACTACAGCTTCTTTAATGTAATCACTCACCTCAGATTCACCCGCTTTCACTCGCAGAAAAGTAGAGATTGGAATGTTCAATGACTAGACGGTGAGCATTTCACTGAGAGATGGCCCTGAAACTCCAAATGAATTGTTTTGGCTCTGTTGATCTGAAACCACTATCAATCAAGGCAAGGTCAACACATGCTACAGCAAAAAATAGTACTCAAGGCTTTCCTGATTGCTATGCTCATATAAATAGCAACATTGATGATCTAAATACAACAAATAGTAGTTTGAGACCCCGCACTTTAGAGCTGCGAGTGGCACTGCCAGTGAACTAATAACAATGGTGGTTCTAAAGCTGTAAAGGGCTATTTTTTTTTTCACAAGAATTCATCAACTTTACTCAGATCGGCCAATATTTCAGACTTTATCTCTTCTGGGAGCAGGGCAGATGGGCCTGCCTTTGAATAGAAACTCGCCAAAGACCTAATTGCCTTCTCGAGCATTACATATGATTCCTGCAGAAAAGCCATGAAGAACAAAGTTAGGGGAGAAATTCGCAGATATGTGACTTCAAAAGCTTCAAACATAAAGCATTAAGAACACGCACCTCGTTTGCAACTGTCGACTGTCCCTTCCAGTTGCTCAGATATTCTCGAATCGACTCCTTTGCTGAATCTGCCGTCCTTCTGAACTTCGCATTATCCTTAGGGTCTTCCTTCAATGATTCACGCAGGGTCTTCACAACCTCCCTCGCTGATTTCAAGTACGCCTTCGGCAATACTTTGCCCGATTTTGTCTTCTCATTTGGATCGAACAGGGTTTGGATTGCCCCAATGACTCCTTTATCTTCATCTTCCTCTGAAGTCGACTTCTCCTCAGCTAGTGCCGGTAATGGGGCAAAGACATAGCTCACAGGTACAATAGAAGCCAGCGAAGAACCGATGCAAATAATGGCATTTCGACGACTGAATGTTGGTCCCTCAAGTGGCAGCACAACTTGATACCTAGATTGTAGTTTGTCTGTTATGAAATACAGTCATGAAAATGTGTGCACAGTCTAAAAAAATTCGCCGGGATAAAGAATTCTTAACTCAGTCAAAGCAGGAAGACACAAAAATTCTGAGTTTAAGGAAATCAATCTTCCTGTTAGAGAATCATTACTGGGATATATAATTCTGCTGCCTTCCTACTGAAAGCCGCGGTGTTGGTTCAAAAGACAAAGAACATAACTATTGGAGATACGGCAATAGTAATCAGCGACATGGCTGATTAAGAACTTTCAGGAAAACGGGAATCGAACAATTTGGAATTTCCCACTCACATTCACGGACAAGATTCGAGGTTTTCTCTGGGGCTCCAGAGATCGCTGAGGGACATAACTTTGCAGCAACAGTGATGACAGCCATCCTCAACGTGAAGTTAACAGCCAACATTCAAATCTGGAAGAGATGGGGAAAAACAAAATGGTATCCACTCAATCAAACTCCAAAGGATACATGCTTACACTGAATTAAACCGAAGCAGCCATATCAGCCATAGCGGACTAGCTTTGCCAAAATATATGAGAAGAGTTGCACTTCTGCAATCCTCACCTCCTCCAAAACCATTAAATAAGGATAGGGGAAAAAAGGGGTTGAGCACAATTGGATCAATAACTTGAGCAACCTGAATGAACATCCTCAAGGATTCAAAGACGCCCAGGTAACATTCACAGTAAAGTTCAACTTTTGAGAACAACCCAATTAAAACCTAGTCTTCACTCACCAAATCTCTTAACCAAACCATGCTAATCAAACAGAGCACTTATCCCAAAACAAGAGCCTATCTGGAGACACCCTTTTCATCCATTCTCAATTTTCTTTCACCTATCTAGTTCTTGATTCAAGTAGCAACGTGACATCGAGAATCCAATGTCAGCATAAAGAAAAACGAAACGAGCAGACTGTCAGAAGTCCCGAGCAACTAAACAGGCTCTGATGATACGGAATTGGTAAAGAGATGCCAAAAAGAAAACGGAACTTGACTCTTAATTGTTCTTTGGATGAAAGCATTACCCAAAAGCTCGCAGAGCAGGCGCTACGGTGGCTCCATAAAAAATGACGTCGCTGCGGTGTTGCTGGTTCTGTGAGAAAGGAGGTTGCTTTCCCTTTGGTGAGATAAGGCGTTTTCTGTTGGATGGCGAAGAACGGACAAGATTTCTTGGATGGCTAAGGTTGTTTTTGTAAAATGCATGTAAGAAATCACACTGCAGAGTGATGTGAAAAGCTTCATAAGGTATTGAAACAACTAAGATCCATGAGTACCAATCAGGTGCTTGATCAAGTGAATTTTTGGCTTACAAGTAGGCTCGGCCACGGGGTTGCGCTGGCCGGGGCACAGTGCAAACCCGTTTCAGACAACGTCCGTTGGGTGGCGGGTCATGCCTGGGCCGAGGTCACGTTGGGATTGGACCGGTCAACGCTCGACAATTTATTTTAATGGATTCGGCCATATTGGTCCGACCACTACAGTGATTATATGATCATTGGGATCACTTGATCAATGACCGTTGGCACAACAAGAAAAAAAGAAGACTTTTTGGACCTCTATAAATTGGTCCCTGCCCTTTCGCATTTTTCACCATTCCTCAATCTTCACTCGCATATCACTTACGAAAGCTCTTGCTCTCTAAAGCCGTTGTCAATTTATTTATTTCCTTTCTTTTTATCACGAATTAATCGCGTCCTATAAGAGGGTAACAACAACCGTGTCCACTTATCCCAACTCCATTTGGACTTAATTGTGCAATTGACGCGGGACTCGTTTAGTGAGTTCTACAACAACAGCGTATACGAGCCAACTCTGCTCCCGCAATAAGTCTAATTTGATGACGACGAGACGCAAAGAACCGACGGTTGAGAGGAAGTGTAGGGACGAACACCGGAAGCTAGCCCCTGCCAAGAGGCTACATCGGACGACACCTCGAAGAAATCCTTCAAGCAACTGCAACAGCGGCCTCGTGGAGAAGAACAGTGCAAGTAACAATATTTCTTTTAGAAGAGCATAAATACTCCGGTATAATGGCTGCGGAGTTCAAGTTTCGAGTACTCGCAAGACAAATTTCAACCTCGTCCCAAATCTTATAGATTTCATAAATGAACTCACATATCCATCCCGCAACCACAATACGTTCAATCCCTATTAGAATTCAGCATGTAATGTGTTCCCTATTAAACGCGACCTAATGCCATCCCTAATGTCGAAGCGGGCACAACTGTTATGTTTACATAGGTGGAATTCCCCAAATATTCCATTTGCTGTGGACAAAATTATTTTCCGGCAAATTCTATTAGGAATTACCCTCTAGTTTGCTGCTAAAGGTACTCATCGATTGTTCGATTTATGGAATGAGAGAATGAGACACATCCCAACTGGCAAATACACCACATATACCCATAAAAAGAAATTTCATACTAATTCGAAATTCGGGTTATCGTTTCCGTTGCTTAATTTCGAGGGTTTTAACCTCATTCAGTTGCAGCTTTTTTACCAAATCTCTTGAAAGAGGCTTGGTAAGATGATATGGTAAAACATGGTGGATACTCCTCTGGAAATTAGTAAATTGAGCATTCTTATGTTTCAGGCTAAGCTGTTCATCTTTCTTCCGTCTGTTTTGCTTATCAGGACAAGGTTATCAGGTTCTGAACAATCGAAATGCTGTACAGAGTCCAAAGGGACTAAAATTTCAAGACATGAAACTTCAAGAGCATGGTTGAAACCAGGTCATTATCCACATGGAATCCTAGGGCTTTGCATGGTTGAAACCAATCAAAGAGGTCATTCATTCTACTACAGATACAGAAGCAGATTACGACTGTTTCTAGTTTGCCTGAATCAAGTTCGGCAGCTCTTTTGTTTTCCATTTCGTGGACGATTAATTCCCTCCGAATTATTGCTGCAATTTACTCCTCTTTTCATTCTACAAGTGAACAGATACACGCCCCAACAAGTGCGTTGCTCTGTTAAACTTGTCTGGCTAGCTAAATATATGTGGAGAAAGAACGACAGTGTAACAACAGTCTTCTATTGATTCAATCATGCCCGAAGTCTTCATCTACAATGGAATAAGAATATAGAGGATTGATCTTGTCTACATTCAGCAGCTTTATCATTACTTCTACAAGACTTTGGATAGATACAAAACTGCTTGCCCGGCAACGAACAGATGCATTTGACTTTATGAAATACGAGATTAGTACACTGTGCTGTGGAACACGAAAGCCTCACCCAACCAACATAATACTTATCTCAATTCTCGAGGGGGTGAGCAAAACACCTTAGCTTGTCCCATGAGGAAGGTTCCTCGGCCTCACAAACCTTCCACGCTCTGTACCTTTTTCCCACCTCTAACCAAAGAAATCCTGGATTCCCTTACCTGCGAAAACTTTGTCAGACAGCTCTGCCAAAACTGCATTCACGGTGAGCAAGGCAACGCTCGATCCAGCAATTACGCCCAAGACAACACCGGTAGTTCCCAACACCTTACCAAATGCAGGCCACTCAATCTCCCCAATCTCTTCTACCACACCACTCAACAAGTTGTCGTCTGCTTTCTCCTTCCTCTGCTCCAATGCTTTCTTTATCTCGGCCCCCAGCTCGGTCAACTCTGCAGTCGACTGGCTTGGTTGTTGGTCAATCGATTTGACCTCTTTAACAGTGTCACTGTTTTGAACATCCGTTTCAGTGCTTTCCTGGCTCTCTTCTACAGCTCTAACAACGTGGGACTGCCTATGAGTATTGCCATAGAGTAGAGAGCATTCACTGCCTAATGATGGTCTGGAATCAGCCAAAGCACAGGTGGATGGCAATTTTGATCTTACCCCAAGAGTTGATGTGAAGGGAAATTGCAAAGGAGTAGAAATGGCCATTTGGCCGGTTTTTGTGGCTCTGGAAGAAACAGAAAGGCACATGTTCGCACCTACAGCAACAGCAGCCATCCCTGATGTGGTATTATCCACTGCTTCAATGCCAAAACTGGTAATGGGAAAAAAAACACCGTCCATTATTAACAACCATCATAACTATCAGGTCATCTTCAAGATGCAAAGGCACAGTAAAACTGTTCATTCCCACCCAACAAATGGAAAAGAGAACGGTACCGAAGAAGATCTCTCTCTCTCTCTCTCTCTCTCTCTCTCTCACACACACACACACACACACACACACACACACACACACACAAACAACACACACATGGGTGCATGCATTTCACCGTCATGCTGACCTCGCTTGCTTCGCTCAAGTCGAGAAGATGACAAAGCCCGCCACTTTCCTTTACACAAGAGGTTTGGTTTCATATGTAATGCTAAATATCATAGCCCAAACTAAAACAGCCAAACTAGATTACTGCTTCAGTAAACTTTAGCGTTCTCATGTCAACTCTGCGCTGACTAGTAACATTCTAACACCATAAAATAGGCATCGCCATATAGCATGTAGTCAGAGCAGGAACCCTATATATAAAGTGCATCCCCTTTCTCCTCGAGCGGTTTCCTAGCATAGTCAGACCCAAATCATTAAGAATAAAAATCACGTTATTTTTGTTAGACACAGTTTAAGTTCCCCCGTGAAGCAGCTCGCTAGAAATTTTCATGGACTAGTATCTTCATGTCAATGACTCCTAAGAGGGTAGAAACAAGTCGATGAGCAAAAACTAGCCACACCCACCACCCGACTCTCCCCTGCCTCACACTCTTATCTTGATTTCAAAAAATGCCGAAACTCCGTTCAAGTGCCGTGGCGAATCTGAGACTTGCAAGCTCTATACTCTTCCTTTCTCATTTCAGTTCTAGAAGGCAGAAATATGCAACGAAAACTGGCACAGGAATTTGATCGAACACTTCAAGGGCAACGAGGATCAAAACAAAACATCCTCATCAACTACCGGCCGCTCGACCGCAATCGCGAAAGAATCACATTTCAAGCAAAGAAACGCCCAAGAACCCAAAATCAAGGACGGAACAAAGAGAGGAACCAGCACGCGCCAAATGGGGACAGAGCCACCAGCGCCGCCGTCTCGGCGCTCGACCCGAGAGCCGGAGCCACCGGCGGCGAGAAAGCAAGAAACGGCGGCAAAATCAAGAAGCGGAAGCTACGTGTGTGTGTTGCAGACGCGAGGCGTGAACGGCGTACCTGCACGGCCCGTGCGCGGCGGAGCAGCGCCACCGGAGAGTCGGAACTCGGAAGAGGGAGAGACAGAGAGAGAGAGAGAGAGAGGGAGAGATGGGTGAGGTGAGAGGGAGTATCATGGGGATAGAGTTGACCATGGGCCTAGGCCTCGGCTTCTTCCTGGGCCTGGGCCTGGGCCTGGGCCTGGGCTTTGGCCTTTTTCGCACCAACGGATGATCAGTACGTGCGCGAAGGGCCACTGGTAGTTCAACGCAATTAAAAAATAATGTTAAAGAGAAAACCCACGCATTTTTTAAATTTGGAAACAAAAAATAGCATATTTAAAAAAACTAGCAATGATTCGAATTGAGATATTTTATATTTCTAGGAAAAACGATTGGTTGCCTCCGCTAAGGGTCCTAGGGACACTTTTTAAAAAATTTCATTTTGCTAGTTGCTTATTCTGTGCACAAAATTGTATAAACAAAAGGCGTTATGTCCGAAAAGTGACGAAAGTGCTTAAAAAACATCGTTGCGACCCCATTGAAAAAATTACTCTTTTCTCATTATATATATAAATCCTTATATTTTGCACATATTTCACCTCTTCTTTTTTGTGGAATTTGACCCGATAGATATAATGACCTAGTAACCTGACATTATCTCAATTTAAAAAGCTCGAATTAGAATAACCACTTCCCAAGTTCTTTGATGCATAGGACCATTTCAATCATCGGCGCCGACAATGGCCAAATACGGTGTTTACTGAATAACGCATCGCATTAGGCAAAGAGACTCGAACCGGCAACTTAAGCTCAAATTTCGACGGCTTTTGTCGGGATTTTTCTCGACTTTCTCGTCGAATTAGAGACGAGTTCAATTAAGCACTAACTTGTCGATGCAAGGACCCAACTAAACATTATGTATGGATTCTTAATGGAGGGCAATCTAAACGTTGTTCTGTTAATCAAATTAGGCAACTTGATTAGCGCTAGCTCAAAAGTTTGTGATATCCAAGCGGCTCGGAAAACTAACTAAACATTCGAATCGTTTGTACAAGCACTTACATAAATATTGGTAAAAGAAAGGACATTGAATTTAATAGTACTTTTTTTATTTTTATTTTATATGAGAAAAGGCTGCACTAAGTACATGGCCAAATTACACAAGCAACCCCTTCACCCCCCAAAAGGAAAGGTCAACGGCAAGAAGAAAACGCCTAGGAAACCTCTTCGCTCTAAACAGAAACTTTACCGAAGGAGGGAAAGAGCTTTGCTACATTCTTCACGGATTGGTGATGCTCACTTCGAGTCTCACGGCTGCGGCCACGGACGCCGCCACCCCGCCCGGTTGGGCTGCCGTCTTGGCCCATGTCCTCAGCTCCGCGTTCGCCACCCACTTCGCATCCTCCCGGTTCGCCGGTCTATCCGCCGGCAGCTTCAATGTGGCCCCCCTGCGAAGAACAACGTTGCCTAATGTCGTGCGTCAAGTTATGATTGGCCCCCCTTAATTAATTGTTTAAGCTCATCCAGATAGACCTTAAACCCCAGAAAAACCAGAGAGCGACATCACGCAGTGCACTAAATGATGTCGCACAGATTGAATTCGAAGAATGGAATATATAGCAGGGATGACCCAGATGGTTCCTGAACTTTGATTAAATATGCAATGTGATTCCTAAATAGTAAATTTGTTCGATGTGTACTCTAACTTTAGCCCAATGTGCAATATCGTTCATGCACTTTTAATTTGTTTAATGTCGTCCCTAGACTTTTGGATATGTTCAATATAGTCCATAAACTGTTTGAATATTGTTTGTTTAATTTAGTCCCTGAATTGTATGAAAATGTTCAAATTGAACAAATCCCCAAAAAAAAAACATGTCCTAAAAATCCTGAAATCACATTGAACAAATTAAAAGTTTAGGGACAATATTGCACGTCGGGCTAAAATTCTAAAACCTAAAGACCACATTGAACAAAGTCAAAGTTTATTAACCATTTGTGTCATTTAATTAAAATTTTAGTCCAATCTTTTCTTCCAAGAATTACCGCGAGAATGTCGGAGATCTTGATCTTGGCTTCGTCCCCGAGCTTTCCTTCGTTGTAAGCCACGGCCGTCTGAGCAGAAGCCGCCAACCCTCCCGGGATGACAAGGTCGCTCCCCGCTTTGCATTGCTCGGCCATGAGAATGGCAGCCGCATCGCTCTGGTCCACGGGCTTGTCCCCGGCCGATTGGGCAGTAGCTTCCAGCGCTTCGCCGATGATTCTCGCACTCTGCTAGGTCGCCTGCGACTGTGCCCTGCCGTCGACTCGCCCTCGACGAACTGGCCAACAACCTAATGAATTTGAACGAAGAAAGTTCTTGGTACAATCTGAACAGATGACGACCTGGATTTTATTTGTTTATTTGTTTTCCATAGGAAACAAAGATGAACCTGTCCAGCTACTCTTTTAGTGACGGTACGCCCGACCGTGAACCCCTCTTTTTCGACGATGGCAGGCTGCCCGATGCCGGATCTGGCGAGGGCGACTTCGCCTGACTCAGGCGAGGGCGACCCTCGCCGACGTCGGGCGGGGGCTGCCATCGCCCACACAGGCGAGGGCGACCCTCGCCTGGGCAGGCGATGGCAGCCCTTGCCCGACGCCGGATCCGGCGAAGGCAGCCCTCGACGGTAAAGAGAAGAAAAGAAAAAAAAAGGAAAAAAAAAACTGAAAAAGGAAAAAGACGAAAATGCCCATGGCTAAAGTATTGTGGGGTAAATGTGTTACAAGTGGCATAGTTTGGAATTTTTCATGTCACAAAAAAAAGTTCAGGTAAATGTGTCACAAGTGGCATAATTTGGGGTTTTTGGTGGTATTTTCCCTTAAAATGAAACACCCAACTTAAACAACAGAAAATCTTGATAAAAAAGAGTGACGCATCACAAAAGTGCATGACCTACGCCAGTTCACTGATATTCTTAATTATCATGCTCTGTACTGGCAAAATTTTAACTCATTACCTCAACTAGGTGATTATAATAGAAATTGTTTTGGTGTTATGGCTCGTCTAGTTTCTTCCAAGAGCAGCAATTGAGAAGGAAGAAACTTACCCTGTGATTTCTGAACGTAATCAGCCCTCCATCTAAGTCAAAAATCTTCACCTGGACAAAGTCCAAGAGTGGTCTTATTTCTAATTGGTGATACACCATTTCCACCCAATTGCACTTAGCTGAAAATTGTGGCCTACATCAACCTATAATTTTCAAAGCATACTATTTCGCCGGTTTTATCCCGTCGAAAATCTTTCACCGAACGCTGCGTTTCAAATTTTATTAGAGGGGACTAGGGTCTTGAATCAAGCTCGGACAGAGAATGTCAAATGCGTCTGTTAAGCCCAACTTATGTGTTACAACTTAACTCAATAATACACCAAACTCGACAATACTAACAATGGGATAACAACTTGCAAATACCGAGACCAAGCTATGTCGGAATCTAATCAACGACACAACTAATATACGACATTGCAATTCAAGGTACGCCAGAATCTAATCAATGACATGACTTGAGAGAATATAGCTGGAATCCAATCAACAGCTATATTCCGAGCACAACGCCGGAATTTAATCGACGACGCCGAACTGATGGCACAACACTGGAATTTAATCAACAATGCTGGACCTGATAAAGACTCTCGCCATAATTGAATCTACGACGTGAAATCTGAAAGCTGTAACTACAACTACTCCTAATATGCTGAAAATAAAGATAGATAAGACATCTGTTGTGTTGTTCGGGGGTCCTTTCTATGTTGGAAATCCTTGAGTATTTATAGAGCAGCATGGTAACTGCTACTTCTCCTTAAAAGTTATTTTTCACTTCCTTACATTTCACACTTTAACCGCTTCCTGACTTGTCGATGTTGCTTACGCTCCTTGGGCATCACGTAATAGCTGATTTTCTTCCACGCGTCTCTTTATTCCCTGCTGTTTCCCACGTTTTACTATTTAGCTTCCTTGATCTTCACGCCCACGGTGATGTCTTTACCTTTTGACACGTGGAAATGTAACACCACGTGCTTAATTCATGATCTCAGACTCATCGACATCATATGCAAAGCTCGTGATCTTGGACTTGTCGACGTCACGTGTAAGGCTCGTGATCTTGGACTTGTTGACGTCATGTGCAAGGCTCGTGATCTTAGACTTGTCAACCTGTCGACATTTCTATGACGTGTCCTGTCAATAACTGCTCCAAATCTTTCCGATGCCTCTGGGCCTGACTCACGGCCTTTCTCCGAATTCATGCTATATGGGCCGTGTTTTACGTCCTTTGTGACTTGTAATCGGCCCACTCCCACCAAAGGTAATTTTGGGTGTCAACGTATGCCCTCTTTTAAAAGGAATAAATTTGAATTTATTTCTTTTAAAGATATACCTTGTCCATGTACAAATCCCTAGGCGATGATCATGCCTTCCTGTCCTCTGACGTCCTTTTGAGCAGCCAAAATGATTTTTTCATCCAATATTCTTTGGACACATCACTTTGTATTTTCTTCAAACAGTCGCGGCTTTTCGAATCGTCTTCTTCATCCTGTATTTTTACAAGAGCTCCGTTTCATCGTTGTATCTTCTTCCTTAAACCCTAAAAATCCCTTCTTGAACCTTTTCCGATCTTGACCCATCATTTCTCATGGCGTCCAAAAAGTTTGAATATTCTGCTGGCGACTACATCGCGGCTTTTGACAAGTTCAAAGAAGACCCGCACGTTGATAATTGTTCTTTCCTTTTATTGAAAGTTGTCGAGGATGAAGCCAACTGTTTCTCTCTGGGCCCCAGTTTCATGGACCATCTTAATATTCCCGTGAATCTCCAATTCCATTTCCCGTATAAGCACAGTGAGACTTTGGCACTGCAACATTCTTCCATCACGGTTGTATGGTCCACCGGGTCTTCTCGATTTCAAGGTTTCCCTTCTTACAAAGAGGATTTTCACAGATGGTTTATTCGCTTGAAGGCCAATCAAAAAACTCAACTTTTATGGACGGCTGCTGGGATTGACGTCGCTCTCGAGGTCAGTATGGGATCTCATGACCTAGAACGCGGGCTATTGGGCTTCGCCATCACTTTCTGGTCTTCTTCCAGCAATTGCTTCTTTTTCCCTTGGGGACACATGTCCATCACTATGCTACGATGTATTTGCTATAGCGGGTTTTGAATTGGTCGGTCATGTTGTCGAGGATTTGCCTGTACTGCCCACTCTTTTTATTTCTGAGGATGTTCTAGTATACAACAATTTTTTACCTCGATTTTACCGAATTTCGGGTCCTGTTACCCAGGACGAGCGTCTTCTTTTCTTGCTTTTTTGGCTATCAAAATACGTGTTCTTTAGTCCTTCCCTTAAAGTTTGCAAAGACTATCTACAAATTGCCGCAGCCTTAGCCACGGGAAAACGCCTTGCATTGGCCCCTCTTGTTCTTGCAGTTTTGTACAGAGGCTTTACTCACGCCTCTCGGGCAATGAAGTTTGGGGATTCTAGAACCATCTCAGGCACTTTTTGGATACTTCAAGCATGGATAGCTCTGTATTTCCCTTCTCTTTTTAGTAGAGGTGATCGTCATCTTCCCCATCTGTCTCGGCAAAGGTATAGAAGACCTTTACCTTTACCTCTGGGCTGTCAATTGCTGAGCCGTGCCCCTCGATATATTGCTTCTCAAGCGCCTCCTTTTGTCTTCTATCTTCGAGCCTTTCTTGAATTGAACCATGACCAAGTCATTTTCTTTAAATATGGCTATGGAGAATTTGATTATTTATTCGATTCGGCTCGATTCAACTTCTATAGGCCTTTCTAGATTTGTGCCTTGTCTGCAGTAGATCTTCCCATATGGACTTCATTAAAGGGTCGATTCTATCCTGGGTTTGAGGTATATTCTCCACAATATTATGCTAGGCAATTTGGACTCTAGCAATCAATTCCCATGCCAATTTCTTATTCAATGGGCTTCTCGGAAGGAACCAAGAAGAAAGAATACTCCCTCAAGAATCGAAGTCCATTTCTCTGTTGTATTGAAATTGCCAATACAATGCGCACCCATTATAGTGCAGACCTCCCTTACAGTTTCAAAGCCCATCCAGGACACCTTGCTGAATGGCAAACTTGGTGGTATTCCTTTGCATTTGAAAGTACATATAAAGAGGCCCCCCAGTCCGCGATTGATCATGTGAAGCAGAATGGCTCTAAGAAGCTGATTACCCAAGGTATGGGCACCACCACTCTACGTTCCTTTTCTATTTCAATCCGGTGCATCTCCTAACTTTCCCATTCCTTAACTCAGAAACAGAAGAGGATTCTGACACAGAGGGTGTCGATGCTGCTGAAAATCCTACTGATGGTAAGCTTCTATCTTTCTTCCTTTGCGTCAGCCCACTTTATTCTCTCCTTTATATTGGTTTGTTACTTATAAGGTCTTCCTCCCCTTCGCATCATCTCTGGACTAAATGAAGAAGAGACGTTGGAAGAAATTGTATCATTGTTGAAAAAGAAAAGGAAGAGGTCTTTTCCTTCTTCTCCAAGAAAGAAGTCCATAACTTTATCTATCAAGCCATCTACTGAACCGGCTGCACACAATGTGGCCTCTTCAAAACTCCTTACTTCTTTTGATAAGAGTTAAGGAGATAGCATCTCTGTTCCCACGATCCAGGATCCTATCACTGCCTTAGCATCAACTGGTCTTCATTCTATCAAACGGGTTAGCAACATTTCAATTCCATCGACTGACATTTCCAGCACAACACCAGCCCCAGCCGACTTGGTGTCTTCTGGCCCCTCTATTACCAGATCAATGGTATCTTCAGCACAACTCATCATCCAACCTAGTTTATCCACTATTGTAACCCCTGGTAAGCTTTTGTTTTGACTGGCGCTTTCTGCTTATTTAGTTTATTTGATTTATTTATTCTCCTTTTCTTTTCAGTTGAACCAGCAATCGTTCCTACTCCTCCACTTATCCGAACTGTTCCAATCCTTGATTCCACTATAGAAACCACTGTCGCTCTTAATCTGGCTGGACGCGAGACAGCTATGCCTGAGACAGGTACATGACTTTCAAACATTATTTTGTCTTCAATTCTTATTTAATCCTGATATTGAGATATCATTCCGGTTTTATAGCATGTGGTTAATCGACAAGTGTCATGGTCCAATAGACCACTACTCCAGCCACTATGGTCAATCCTTCCACAGCCTCACCATCGACGTCCACTCCCATGCTCGTAACCTCGACTTCCAAGACTAATCCTGCCTAGGCCTTATCGTCGACACCTGTCTCATCAACTCCTTTGCCTGACCATCAGTCGGCCACTTCTTCTGCCGTATATATGGGCAAGGCAATGCACGCCATAGACGAAGCTGAATTTATTTTGGCGTTTAATCCATACGACTTGTCGCCTCACTCTAGCCAATCAAAACTAGCTATAATCAAGAAGAAGATGGAGCTGATGCGCTTTTTGGACTTCTCTATAGGAGGACTTGCGAGGATGTCGTATGATGCTACAGCCTTGGAGCAATTCAAACTCCTCATCAATCGCCTTGGAAACGAAAATGTTGAAGTTAGGTCTATTCTTCCTTCAGCACTCAGGGAGCGACTCAAGACTTTCTCCCAGGAATTCTAGACTATGTTCAATAAATACCAACAACTCCTGGGCCAAGTACAAGAGACGGCCATTCCTGCAGAAATACATGAGGAGCCAGTTGACATTGTGAAGGAGACTAGTGAGGAGGTAAACACCCGTCGCGAGTCTCTTCGGGTTATTACAGACAAAATAGGTGTCCTTGTCGAAAAAGAAAGACATCTTGCTGCAGCGTTCGAAGAGACTCGTCGACGGCGGGAGATGAAGCTTCGTCAATAGGCAGAGGTCGAACAAGAATTGCGCCATCACGTCGGTGTTTTGAAGGGCTTGAAACAAAAGAAGCATATGCGAGTGCTGAACCTTGCAGTGGAACAGCGTCAGAGTAGAAACTCATGTATTTCTGAGATGAGTAGATTAGAATCTCAATTACTCTTGCTCCAACGAGGGGTTCACGATTTTTTGTTCAGTAGACCTCCTTCTCCTCAATAAAGTATTTTTATTGTCCTTGGATGTCCACGTGTGCCACGATTACTCATAACCAACTTTGATAATGGATCCCGAGCCTTGCGCCTTCGTTCATG